TTGTTCCACATATACTTCTTCCTGAAGAAGTCCATTCAAGAAGGCACTCTTAATGTCCATTTGATGCACCTTGAATCCTAAGGTACATGCAACAGCAAGCAGAATCCTAATAGACTCAAGTCGTGCAACGGGGGCAAAAGTCTCATCAAAATCAATCCTCTCAACTTGAGTATACCCCTGAGCAACTAATCTCGCCTTATTCCTAGTTATAGTACCTTGGTCATCTGTCTTGTTTTTAAAGATCCACTTGGTACCAATAACATTACAATTTTCAGGTCTGGGAACTAAGATCCACACATTATTCCTAGCAAATTGATTTAGCTCCTCATGCATCGCATTCACCCAACACTCATCACTGGGCCTCTTCAACTTTCTTAGGCTCAACTTGAGACACATAGCTAGTGTAAGCTAGATTATTCAGAACTCTCCTACGAAGTCTCATCCTTTCATCTAGATCCCCAATGATATTATCCTTAGGATGATTAGACTTAACCCTATTCGTTGGTTCCTTAGGATGTATATCTAGATTTTGTGGAAGTGTTTCCTTTTCAGATGTTTCAGGTTTCTTACAAGATGATTCAAGCACAGGTAGCTCGGTAGGATCACTTGAACTCAAAAGATCACCATCTTTATCACATTTTTCAGCACTCTCCCCCTCACTCACAGCATCATCTATCACAACATTTATAGACTCCATCACCACACAGGTACGTAAGTTATACACTCTAAATGCTCGGCTATTCCTAGAGTACCCTAGGAAGATCCCTTCATCACTCTTTGATTCAAACTTACTCAAATTCTCTCTATCCCGCAAAATGTAGCACTTACTCCCAAATACTCGAAAATACTTAACAGTAGGCTTTTTACCCTTAAGAATTTCATATGGGGTCTGATCAGTCTTGGGTCTAAGGTAGACTCCATTGATGATGTGGCGTGCAGTGTTAATAGCTTCTCCCCAAAAGTGTAGGGCTAATTCCTTGCCATGAAGCATGGCTCTAGCCATGTCCTGAAGGACACGATTCTTCCTTTCAACTACCCCATTTTGTTGCGGAGTGATAGGGGAAGAGAACTCATGCAATATCCCTTCGTCCATACAGAAACTTTCAAGATGAAAGTTCTCAAACTCTTTTCCATGGTCACTACGCATCCTAGACACTTTGAGATTCAGTTCATTGTTAAGCCGTTTACACAGAGACTTTATGAGATCACAAGCATCAGATTTTTCCCTAAGCAATTCTATCCAAATAAACCTCGAGAAGTCGTCTACCACGATAAGAATGTATCGCTTACCACCTAAACTCTCAGTCCTAGAAGGTCCCATCAAATCCATGTGTACCAACTCCAGGGGTCTTTTGGTCAGAATTTTAGTAGTCTTCTTATGGCTCCCCTTAAGTTGTTTACCTAGTTGACATGGTCCACACACAACATTTTCACTAGGAACTATCTTAGGCAACCCATCTATCAATTCTTTCTTAGCCAACTGCTCTAGACTCTTATAGTTCAAATGACCTAATCTTTTGTGCCAGAGCTCACTCACATCAATTTTAGCACTCCTACACATATAGTTAGAATTAGGTAATACCCCATAACAATTGTCAGATGTTCTAACCCCTTCAAGGACTACCCCACCGGATGAATCATACACGGTACATCTCTTCTGCACAAAACTAACCTCAAAGTCGTCATCACAAATCTGACTAATGCTTAACAAATTTAACTTTAAACCTTCCACATAAAGCACATTAGAGATCACAGGTAAGCCATACATTTGTACAGTACCTTTGCCAAGAATAGGTGCAGAGCCCCCATCTCCAAAGGTAACTATACCACCATTACATTCATCAAGAGTAGTGAATAGAGCTTTATTACCACACATATGCCTAGAACATGCACTATCCAGGTACCACATATTAGAATTTTGAGCTTTTAAAGCAATATGAGCAACAAAACAGTTTTCTTGACCTGAAAGTCTACCTAGATCACCCTTTTGGACCCAAACCTTTTTAGATGACAAAGTACTCTTAGTTAGCTTAGTAAGCATCTCAGTCAAATGATTAACCTGATTAGACAGAAAGCTAACTTGACTAGGAATGTTTTGATTTCTACGCTCATTGCCTAACTTATAACATCTAGGCCTAGTGTATCCTAGAGCTCCACAGTGGTGACGGGTAGGAATGAACCTAGGCTCAAAGGTACGTGTCTGTGGGTACCTAGTCCTGATGTTCCTACGTGATTGATGACTCTGTTCCCTAGGAACACTCTTACCCTTACTTGGACTCCTAACAGCATTAGACTTAGAGGCAAACACAAAGACAGTCTTAGATGGTCCAACAACATGTGTATTACCCTCAACATATCCTAGACCTCTCTTATCTCCCACTGGTTATCCAATTTATTAGTTCCACTTATGAATGTCTGAAGACGAGCATTAGATTTCTCCAATTCACTAGTCAAACTCTTAACCTTGTCTTCCAATTTCTCATTGACACACTTTAACTCACTACCACTCTTAAGTGAATCCTGAAGCTTACTACCCAGTTTCTCTTTTTCCCTTTCAAGTTCGTCAACCTTTTTAAGTAGGGCTTTATTGACCTTCTTTATTTTAAGACTCTCCTTAAACAACAGTTGATAAGCTTCTTGTAAGTCTATGTCATCCTCATCCTCATTACCAGAATTATCGTTTGAATGTTCTTCCTCAACCTTGTCACTTTCCTTATCAGATTCACTCTTAACAGTAGCCACAAATGCCATATAATTTCCTTCATCATCACTACTAGAGGATTTATGCCTATCACTGGTCTCAGATTCATTATCAGTAAGTGAGACAACTAAGGCCCTATCTTTCCCTTTTCTTTGATTTTTCTTATAGCTAAGACACTCATTCCTATAGTGACCTATTCCTTGACACTCATGACATATAACCAAACGTGGCTCCTCACTTGACCCTTTATTGTTAACTTTCTCAATTTTATCTTTTGTGAATCTGCTAGGGGCTCCACTCTTTCTATCCTGAGGCTTTCTCCTATTCTTGAGGACTTTTTGAAATTTCTCAACAAAGTATGCGATTTCCTCATCCCTAAGTGACGCAATATCAGAAGATTCATCTTCTTTAATGGATTTTAGGGCTATGGACTTTCCTTTCTTATGTTGTGAGATAGTGAGTTCATAGGTTTGCAAGGATCCTACCAATTCTTCGATTTTAACTTCATCTAGGTCCTTACTTTCCTCAATGGCAGTGACTTTAGGCTTAAATCTCTCAGGTAGAGATCTAAGTACTTTTCTCACAATCTTAGTCTCGGGAATTCTCTCACCTAGGTTGAAACTAGAGTTAACTATATCATTAGTTTAGCGTAAAACTCATCAAAGGTTTCATCATCTTTCATATTCACTTCTTCAAATCTAGAGGCTAGCATTTGCAATTTTGAGTTCTTTACTATTTTAGTTCCCTCATGTGTAGTTTCGAGAATGTCCCAAACCTCTTTAGCAGTTTCGCACATAGACACTCTCCTAAACTCTTCTGGAGATAGAGCCATGAATAATGCATGAATTCCCTTACTATTCCAATTACATGCAGCTAATTCATCTTTAGTCCACAGTGATATGTCAGTAAGGTTAATTGTTCCTGATACGGTAGTAAATGGAGGTTTCCAACCATTTTGAACGCTAATCCAAACATGCTCATCTAAGGACTTAAGGAACGCACGCATTCTAACCTTCCAATATGCATGATTACTTCCGTAAAAAAACGGAGGTACAGACAGTGATTGACTCATCTAGACAACTATGGGCCAGGACTCGAGATTAGGCTCTGATACCACTTGAAAAACCTATCGTTCGACCCAACTAACACCTAGAGGGGGGTGAATAGGTGTTCTTGTGGAATTAAAAACTTTTTGAATAATTCATGCAACAAGTCACACAAATTATAATTTGTCCAGATTAATTCACGTGCTTTATCTACCTATGTTGGATTACCATTGACAAGTAAATAAATTAAAGCGGTAAAAACACAATAAACATGTTGACGGAGAAACCCAACTGGGTAAAAACTCCGGGCACAAGCCAGTAGAGATTCACTATTGTAGAAACCAACTTACAGCACGCTAGACATCATTGACACTCTCAATTTTCTGACCTCCTTGCTGTATGAACTCAAGACCCTCCTGAATTTTGCAGATCCTTACTCAACAAGCCAAGGATTGGTATGAGAACAATGAAGGATTTCTTTGGCTTTTGATCCTTGGAGAGAATGATTTGGATTTTTGGTTGCCAAGGAATTGAAAGAATATTCAAAGTGTTTTCAATGTGAATTTTCGGGTTCATGAACACAAATGGGACGTTTTGTATATATAGAGGTTGATATATGGTAATGTGGAGCGTCAAACATTCGCGAGCGTTTAAAATTAGAATTGGCTAGGTAACACGGTCGCTCGAGCGAGGTACTGGCGAACCTCGAGCGACGGCTCAGAGTAAGTCCAGCGAAGTTGGTTCTGCAATTGTGGCTCGAGCGAGATCAGGACGAGACTCTAGCGAAATCAAAGCGCCGCTTGCATCTTCGAGGCATCCCACACAACCCTAGACCTAGCCTATAAACTTTAGTTAATTGCAACTCTAGTCCCTGAACTATTGGACATTGACAATTTGGTCCTTGACTTTACAATTTTGACAATTTGGTCCTCGGTCACAGATTTGCCAATTACATATTTTCCTAACAACAATCAAACACATCAATATGTATACTATTATCTCAATTATTTGCTGGTTAGTTATTTGCCAATAATTCCATCTTCTAATATATTTTCAAACATATTCAATACATACGCTAACCAAATCATAATTCATGCACGGCTCGTGCATCGCACGTAACATAGACTAGTCTCACTTAAAAAGTTCAGTAGTTCTATGTTTTGTCCTTCATTTTTATCCTTACCTAATCTCCAACTGCTAACAAAAAGAATCAAACAACAAGAAACGAGAACCAAAGTAGAGAATCTATGGAGTGCAATTGTCTAATCCCTTATGGTAGAACTAGTGAACTACCACAACCAATCCTTAAATGCATTGCCGTTTTCTCAAAATGGAAGGAGGCAAAAGTTATTCTGCAACACTTTCCAAAACAGAGACTTCAATCACCATTTCAATTAACAAGCTGTGAAGAACCACATTGTGAGTTACAAAATGTTGCCAAAGCACCATAAATATCAGGACGATGTGAAAAATAACCAACCATCAACCATCATTCTCATCAACAATCGGGGTTTGGAATATACATGTCCAGTGCTATTTTGAACTATCTCGGCCCTACAAAATAACTACAAAACATAGTCACTATCACATTGTCGATAAAATGGAGAATGTGGTTGTCTATACCATTACCGATATCACTATCGACAATATCAGCATAGTTGGCACAAAAATATTTGCATCTGATATTGTTACCCCGCAGAATTTTGCACGTTTTCCACAAAAAGGGGGATTGAACTCTAATTGACAATGGTGATGCAAAGAGGAATTTGTTGGTGAACAGAGAGAAGCCACTTCACGTCATCATCAGTCGTAATCTTTACTGGTGCAACAGGCACGTGTGTCATGCCAGGGACAACAAATCTCATCTCCATATTGTATAAAGTGGTATCGACAATAAGGAGTTCCCGCACTCTATCATACAACTCCGTGTATGAAATAATTCTTGAAACAACAAGAGATTTCGTTTCTTTTCCACTCCAAGACCATCCATCTTGTTCATTTTTCTTAAATTCACCAAAATAGGAAATAACTAATCGGAACTCGGAACTCATACCTGGAATTTATTGAAAATCGTCAAAGTTTAGCAAAAGACACAAAAATCTCCACGTATATTTTTGTCAAGAATTAATCAAATGCACCCCACCCCTACTCCTACTCCTACTCCTACTCGGTAAGTGTTGATTACACAAATGAAAAATCGACCATTCGGATTTGGAGAAACTGGGGATCTGCTTAAAGAAATTGATTTTTATTTGGAGAAGGCAAAACGAGGAATGACTACATAATTGACACATGAGGGTTGATTAGGAAGAACGGGACAAAATACTAGCTGATCTTGTGATCTGTATGATGAAAAAGTAGATTCAGCTGAGATATGGAGGAATGAAAAGGGCTTCTGGTAGTAAATGAAGATGGTTGTGTAACTTTTTACACAATACTAAAGTCAAAGATGGCCTTAATAAGAAAAAGGAAATGTATTTCTTCACTTCAAAGTACAGAAAACTTTCCAGAAAAGTCCCTCTTATGACAACAGTAAAATCTATTCGATCAAGCACAGTTCGAGCTCACGAGACAGTTAAAAGCAAACCAGTATGAGGTAGAATATATACCATATGTAGTAGCATCAATTTGTTCAGGAATCTCCTTTATATCCACTTCAAATCTTTGTTGAACCTAATCCCATAAGACAACTACAAGGTTAGTAGTAAACACAAATCACTCACTATTCAACACAATTTTCCAATTCACCATGTTAAAAACATTGTTAGTCAACTCAACTTAAAGGGAAAAGTTTCAAGTTAGCCACCAAAAATTTATCTTGTTCCAAAATATTCACTGAAATTTGCTTTTCATTTCAGTTCAACCACTAGTAAGAATCTCCAATCCGCTACTTTTTCCAATGGAATGTCCAATGTGTAAGAACTCCATTCAATGTTGGATGTTCCATTAGAAAATTATCGAATTTTAAATGACTGACAGACTAATAAAAAGAGGAAAATAAAGGACAAACAGAGTTTTAAAACCCATTTATTACCTGATTAAGAACATGTGAATCCAAAGCGGAAGACACAAAGGTAATACCAAGTCCTTTCATACCAAATCGACCAGCTCGACCTACCTGTTGGAGAACAGAGTCCAAAAGAAATATGGGTCAGCTATAACATCACTGTCATAGATCATCTATACATTCAGACTAATATTAGTGGAAATACCCTGTGCAAGTAAGTGTCTGCAGAATCTGGCATATCATAGTTAATAACAATATTGATACGCTCCATGTCAATTCCCCTTCCAAATAAATCAGTTGAGACAAGAATTCTTTTGAGGCCCTCTTTGAAAATTTTGTAACGGTTCAACCTGAAGTTAGCCACGAAAAATAATAAGTAGATAACATTCTTATATGCAATACAACTATTGCAAAGACGAGGCAAAGTTTAACAAAAAGATAAAGCCATAGGACAGGTGGAAATTAAACTTGTGGACAACAAAAACAGGCAAAAGCCTGAAGGAGAAGATTAAAGGAGATCACATGTAACAACTATGCACAAACCAGAGTCGTGAAAGCTATGCTCTGTTCGGTCAGTAATTTGAACTTATCTCATGCCTTCAACCATAAAAATCCTACTAGAACTGTCGCGACGATTAATTAAACAGCAAACAACAGTTAATGGCATAATTCATGCCTCATCAGACATTTATGAAAAACATCATATTTTACCAAAAGCTGTGATACTACTTATTACCCTACTATAAAAGGAGAGGAAAAGAAACGGGGAAAAGATTGTAGCAAGCATGTTTGGGATGTGCTCATAAACGGTTTAAATTATATATAAATAGAAATGAGTGATGGATAAGTGAATAATACTTGTGAATCATTCGAAATGCGTGGATAAATAGTGGCTTGAATGTATATAAACGGTTTATAAACATGAGCCAAACATAGGCAATATACGAAATGTGTGGATAAATTTGACAATATATAAAGCACTAAAATCTTTCATGGTACCAACAAACACGAACCTCCTAGAACAAACAAAGTGAATGACATCTGCAATTAAAATTAAAGTCTATTCCTGCAGCATTTCTTCTAAGAGGCATAGCATCCATACTATCAATATAATTTTTATCTAGATAGAGTTAGAGAACTTAAGTAACATAGACGTGCCTTTCCTTCTGAGACATTCCAGAATGAATGCAGATGGAAGGAAAGTTGCAATCGACTAGCGACCTATTCAGCTGAGCTGCTTTTTTTATGCTTTTGACAAAAATGACAACTTGGTTGAAATCCAAGGCATCAAGAAGGTAATTCAACTTTCGGTTCTTCTCTACCTCGGTTAATCTGACATAATGCTGATAGGACGAAGTAGAATAAGAATATGGAGACTGAGTAAGAAAGGTTAAGCCTTAACCAGATGAATTCGGAATACCTGTACAAGCCCATGGAGAGTCAACTTGGCTTCATTATCTACATAAATTTCCACTGGCTACAAGGAGCAAGGTGCATACACATTATTTACAATTGATCATAGTTACACCTAAGTATACAAATGGCACCCAGTTGCAAGTCATAACTACCATATGCAAAGTATATCTATTCAAATTATGAATACTATTCATTCAGCATTCTATAATTCAATTTCTAAAACAACTTATATCTTCATCCAGTTGCAATATATCATCAGTCGTCAACAGATTGAAATCCAACACATCCAAATGTCTAAATCTTACCTAAAATCTGAAAGGATTCAAATAAATATAACTTTTTAATATTCATCTATATTTAGCAACAAACTTCCCATTCCAAAATGAATATTTTGATTTAAACAATCATCATAATCAAGTAAAGAGTTGAAAAGTTTTGTAATTTGGGAAATTATCCAACTATATCAATTGATGCGTGAAACAGAGTGATATAACACGTGTTTGAATGTGAAAAAGAGGGTCAGTCTTTACTTAGGGTAGTTGTGGCATGGAGTGATAAGTGCATTCATATATTGAATGGGGTTAAATATGGAAAGTGGGTGGTGTTGCAGGAAGGTTAATTAGGAAGCAAAATGGAAGGAATTGTTCAATTCAGCAAACAAGACATTAATTTGGAACAAAGGAAATAAAGACGTTTATGGATTATTAAATACTACTAAATCATGTTTATACTCAATATGTAAATATACTAAATAATTAAACCTAATTAGATAGGGACCTTAATTGGTTCAATCAGCCAAGATTTAAATCCAAGTCCATATCTTCAGATTTTCATACTAGCTTTGGATTCAGGGCAACCTTAGACCAGTAACAAAATTAGATCCCAATATTGAGTACAAAATAGCTCAACATGCAATTGGAGAGAAACTAGCATTTCTATATTTTATTTGATCCTCTTCTAGGGAAATGGCAGCGAAATGCATTCAAATTATGCACAGGGGAGAAGAAGCACCAGATTCCAGTTAACATGAATACCGAAGCTGCTAAACATTGTCTAAAGATTAATTTGGTCATAATGTCCACCATAACAGTTGAACCATGTTATAAACACTGTATGTCATCACGTGCAATCAGAGATGATGGAAACAAACAAATTGTACCCCATTTGAGGCAGAAGATAGTCGAAGTGTTAGTGAACAATGATGAGAAACCTGTGTAATGTGTGCATCACAAAGTATCAAGCACAGCATCACATGACAAATTATACAGATCAGCATTTTTAAACGTCCACTCAGTTTCCGGCACAGAAAACCCAATGGACTTCATCAGTCAATGCTTGCACGTGTACACTATGCAAGAATCGCACAGAAAAGCAGAATGCAGGGAAGAAATTTTACATATTGATCACTCCCCACTCAACCCCAAATAATACCAACAAAAAAGGTGTGCACGCACACAGATAATATAGCCTAATTATTTGTTGGGGATGGAGAGAATAAGGAACTCTGATTAAAGACCATTGAATCACAGGGATTCAAGAAATGACAAGAAAACTCTCATGCCTGACATCAAGAGAACAAGAAACTCCAAATACAGATATATTGATGATAAAAAATTACATCTTGCATAAACTTCTTGCAAACTGGACGCATCTCCTTACTGAGAGTAGCCGAGAACATCATAACTTGTTTATCGTGAGGGGTCCTCTTGAAAATTTGTTGAACATCTCTCCTCATATCTGTAGTAGATAAATAGAAAGGACTAATATTGACTGCATTTAGAACAAAAATAGCAAAATATAAAATCATACCAAGTGCCCCAAGCATCTTGTCACACTCATCAAGAATAAAATGTCGCACATTCTTTAACCCGAGATCCCCATCCCTGACAAGAGCCAATATTCTTCCAGGAGTTCCCACAGCAATATGAGGGCATTTTTTCTTCAACAAATCTCTGTGGATCTTAATGTTGACACCACCGTGGAATACAGCAACTTTAATTTCAGGTAAATAGGTAATGAACCTCTCAAATTCGTGGCAGATCTAAAAAATCAGAATCACATTATTCCTATGCCAGAAGAAAAGGAAATAGAGTATACGTGCACCTACAAAGCAGTGAACAATAATAATTGAATCAACACAGAAGAAAAATGGATTAGCAAAACACACTTGATAAGTTAGTTCTCTTGTATGGCAAAGGACAAGTCCAGCAATTTGACCAGAAACGGGCTCAATCTGATGCAGGATAGATAGAACAAACACTGCTGTCTTCCCCATCCCAGACTTAGCTTGACATATGACATCCATTCCTAACATAGCTTGAGGTATACACTCTTGTTGCACTGATGAGAAACAATATCCAAGTGGACAAATCCTCAGCCAATACCAATGATCTTCAAGATTCTTTCAAATGAAAATATTAAGAAACCAATTTTTGGATTGAAATGATTATAGAGGGATTAGTTGTTACCTGACATAAAGTTGATATACTGACATTTATCAATGGGCAAATAATTGCCACCAATTAAAAATGAAAATTAACAGGAGATAAGCAAAAGTTGAACATAGACAAGTTTCTGAAGTTCGCAGGTTGCAGACGTTTCTTGTTTTACACAAAAAGATGGCATACCATGTACTACCTCAGGATCAAATATAGAATGTTTTAAAAGTTGGCAGCTACTGCAAGGATAAGTTCAACTTCGAGATTCAACTGAACCCAGCACCCATCCATCAAACAGCTTTCCAGAGACGTAAGTACATCTACCATTTTAGCTTGTAATTTAAAACTAAATCCAACTAATAGGTTTTGATGTGAAGTTTATGATTAGAGGGATTCTTCTAATTAGTAACAAATTACAAACCAGAAGAAAAGTCTTTTCATTTTTGAGGGGCTATGCAATTTATCACTAGTGTAAGTCCATATTTAAAAATTGAGAAAGTCAAACAAATCCCTACCACGTATTCTCCTTAAGAGGTTGCACAGTTCTTAAAATTGCTCATCAACAAGGATGCTGAATACAAAACTCAATGAATTAACCAAAAGATAAATATCTTCTGACAACAACTTAAGATAGGGATTGCATCTCTTGCAATAAACCTAATTAATACCAAAGGACGAAATTGAAGTCAGATAAAAAAGAAAAAATGTTCTCTTTTACATCAATTGCAACCTGAATGCTTATACTTATGCCTGTGCTTCATTTTGTCATGTTGTCAAGTAAGAACAACCTCTTTATACTCAAGGTAAATTGTACAGTTTTGAAAATCAAGGTCAAACTATGGAAAACGTAAATTATATATCACAACAGCCCATCAAGATTGTGTTTTCCTGAATGATATCTGCAGGAGAACTGGGATAACCAAAATGAGCAAACAGTTAAAATTTGAGGACTAACTTTGTTCCATTTTAAAGATCGGGTACCAACTTAATACTGGGACAATAAATGGGGGACCATTAATGCAATTTTTGCACTTCTCATGGTTGTCAACTTAGCTCCATGTTGCCAAGTTCCAATCTTTTTTCCATTTCTCACTGGAAATTAACATACGTGTATATACAACAAACACAATAAACAAATATCCTCAGTCTTCCCTCCCTAAAAATAGAATATGAAGATTTTCATTCTATGAGAGCGTAAGTTCTAAACCAACTGAAGGAAAAAGAGACAACAAAAAATCTTCTGGTTTGAAATACTCATTGGGCTCGGAACCAGATTTAAATTTTACTACCAACGCAAAAAAAGTGGATACATAAGAACGAAAGAACTTCATAAATCACCATGAGTTGAACCAAAACGACCATACTGAATCAAGAAAGTTAAACTCAGGAAAGAAAAACACTTCTTCACGGAGTACCCGGTGTCTCTGTCATTAATGGAGTTGGGGTCTTGTTCATCTTCTTCCTCGTAGTCGAGCAGCTCTTCCTCGTATGCTTCATTTTCCCTTAATGCACTCATGATCCTGTTAAGCAAGTATAAACTTTAATTTTTAGTTCACAAAATGACCAAGTTCAGATTTCTTTAAAAAATTATGCAATACACCATTGATCATTGACTCGTAGTAAACTTTGATGCATACCTTAAGCTAACTCTGCTAGCTTCCGAAATAAAATGAAATTTGATAAAATGTCAAAACAGAGTTGGAACTAGGGTTTTGGGCTGTAGAGGATGTGAAAATTTTATTATTGTTGCATGCTAATCCTAATAGAAATGGTTTGGTCATGTTTGTTCCCATTCTTTTTTCGTTAAAATAAAAAATATGACAATCTTCGAAATCATAACAAATATATTTTTCATTCTCATTTTTACTAAAATGAAAAACAAACGCCTCTTAATCTATTTTATAAATTTGAAACTATGCACATTTTCAAAAGCGCACATGACGAAAGGCTTATCTCCTTGGGAAAAAAATTAAATTTGAAGTAGTGATTTTTTAAAAAGGGAAAAAAAAAGTTTTGATTTTACTTGTAATATTATTATATTGAAAAATGTGTGGTTAAAATGATAAGAGAGAAAAATAAATTTTAGATAAAAAGGAGTCCAAACAAGACCTAGGATAGGGATGACAAAAATGACCTCCTATCTTGACTTGTTGTCATTCCTAATTCAAATTTGAGGCAATTGTACTAAAATGTAGGGGATAACTTGTTGTTTTTTGAAGTTCGGAGACCACCTTGATAATGCTATAGATATTCTCTTTCAGGGCTTGTTTGATATTGCTTTCACTTTCCATGGAAGAAATTCTAGAAAAAACTACCTCAATTTTTATTTGAAAACTAATTTTCAAAAGAGTTTTTACTTTTATTTATTTTTTTATTTTTTAAGTACTTTTAGAGAAAGTCACATTAGATCAACTCCAACTAAAAGTTCTTCTAACTAAAATAAGCATTTTCTTAAAATTAATCAAACGAATTCAAAAGCAACTTTTAAATTCGAAACTAGGAGTGGACATTTTTTCCTGAAACCGACGGAATCGAATTGGAATCGTTTAGAACCAATCGGTTTGATCCCAGATCTTCTAAACAACGACTTGATTTGGGAACAAATTATTAAGAACCAATCGGTTCCCGATGCTAGTATGAAAATCGTCGAGAATCAAACAGTTCTCATAGGATTTTTTTTTCACTTTTTGGTAAAATATATGACTCAATATCCAATCACTTTTATAAAAAATAATCGTATTCCTTCTTTATTTTAGACTCTAGCACTTTCCTTCTCTTTGATTCTTTCATTTTCTATTCTTATAATTCTTTGATTATTTGATTCTCAAACCAAATTAGATTATTGGGTAAATCTATACCTAAATAAATTTATTTACAATATATAATTTAATTTCTTAGATGCGAAATTTTTATTTTGTTTTCCCTTTGATTATATAGTTGTTGATCTGATCGAAACTTTTCATCTAGGTTTCTACAAATTATAACCGATAGAACCAGAAGTTGCAATAAATTTTTAAAGGATGTTCAATTCAATGTATGATTTTGATTTTGATGGAAGTTTGTTTAATCATTGGAGTACTATGCAATTTATATAAGTTGATAATTGCTTGATGATATTAACTTATATTATTTGGATATTGTTTTTAAATTTGTATATTTAGTTTTGTTTTAATCTTTAAATAGTGTGTTCATTTCTCCTATATTTTGTTAAAAGTATCATATTGGTAGCATTTTTAGATTTTTTATCAGTGAACATTTTATTTTTACATTTTCAATGTAAAGAATCGGACAGGATCGAAAATAACTAATTGGTCGGTTTCATAGTGATTCCATTTCTAAAATTTTCATTGATATTCGATTCAATTTGGTTCCCTTCGAAATCGGACTGCGCTCACTCCTATCTGAAATGATCTTTTCAACTTTTCAAAACTCACAACAGATGGATCCCTCGGGTACATTCCAGCATGTGGTGTTAATGAAGAATCAAAATCTTGTGAGTTCCTCGTTTCATGCAATTTTACTAAAGTATATAAAATGGAAGTATTTTTTGGATAAAATTGCAGCAAACATCCCAACCTTTCATTTTCTTGATTTTCACCTTCTCCCAGGCCCAGAGAGGGTTTGTCGCGCGATCTCTCTCTCTCTCTCTCTCTCTCTCTCTCTTAGAACGCTCTGATTCAAATCCGATCGAAATTGACAGAAAATGGCAGTTCTGGCAGCGTCGAAGTCCAAGTCCATCAAAACTTTCGTTGACAACAAGCGTAAGGATGATATCGGATGGCCAACATTGTGGAAGGGCAATCGGTGGCAGACACTGTCCGTATTAGTCTTGGACCGAAGGGAATGGGCAAGATGATTTCTACTTCATCCGGCGAGGACCGCGAGGTCATTATTGTTAAGGGATGTGTTATTCCACATCAGTTAAATACCGAATATTGACCAACTTATAAAGATCTTGGGCCACTCCTCTTAATAAGGTTGACCTTATTAAGATGAACCCCAAATCTTAACATGGTATCAGAGCCCAGTAAATTCCAATGAGTTGTTCGATCCGATTAAATCTCAAAAATGAGCACACGAATTTCAAGATTGGTCTGCTCAAAAAGAGCCACCATCTTACGGGGGCATATAAAAGGATATGTTATTCCACATCGGTTAAGTACTGAAATATTGACCAACTTATAAATATCTTGGGCCACTCCTCTTAATAAGGTTGACCTTATTAAAATGGACCCAAAATCTTAACAATTATCACCAACGACGGCGCCACCATTCTTAATAAAATGGAAGTTCTCCAGCTGATTGCAAAATTCCCCGTTCAGCTTTCGAAATCACAGGACTTAGTCGCTGGAGATGGGACGACCACTGTTGTAGATATAGCGGGTGCTCTTTTGAAGGCGTCTCTCACACTTTTATCTGCTGGCATTCACCGGACGGTTGGTTCAGATGCCCTTCACAAGGCTTCGATTAAAGCTGCTGAGATATTATCAGCTATGGCGATTCCTGTGGAGTTATCGGACCATGATTCGCTGGTTAAGTCAACCTCGACTTCTTTGAATTCCAAGGTCGTGTCTCAATAGTCTTCTTTTCTAGCTCCATTAGCTTTCGATTATGTTCTTTCTGTAGTGGACCCTGCTAAGCCTGATTTAGTAGACTTAAAAGATATTATAAGATTTTGAAGAAATTAGGTGGAACCGTTGATGATACTGAGCTGGTTAATGGACTGGTTTTTGATAAGGTAAGTCATACAGCAGGGGGCGGACCAAAATGGAAAATGCTAAGATTGGGGTAATACAGTTTCAGATATCACCGCCTAAATCTCACATAGAGCAAAGCATTGTAGTGTCTGATTATACACAGATGGATAGGATTTTGAAGGAGAGGAAGTATATTTTGGGTATGATTAAGAAGATTGAGGCAATCGACTGTAACGTGCTATTGATTCAGAAGAGTATTTTGAGGGATGTGGTGACAGACTTGTCACTACGTTTTTTGGCTAAGGCAAAGATTTTGGTAATTAAGGATGTCGAGAGGGATGAAATTGAGTTCATTACCAAGACTTTAAATTGCTTGTCGATCTGAAAAGTTAGGGTATGCAGATTTGTTGAAGGAGGTGTTGCTTGGGGATGGTGGAAAGATTGTCAAGATCACTGGGATTAAGGATATGGGGAGGACTACTAACGTTTTTGTACGTGGATCGAACCAGTTGGTTCCTGATGAAGCCTAGAGAAGTTTGCATGATGCAGTGTGTGGTGAGGTTTTTTGGTGAATAAGAGGTTTCTAATTGCAGACGGTGGTGGGCCTCAGATTGAGCTGTCAAGGCAGTTTGGTGCATGGTCTAAGGCGATGCAGGGGATGGAAGGGTATTGTGTAAAGGCATTTGATGAAGCTCGAGGTCATTCCATATACATTGGCTGAGAATGCAGGTTTGAACCCGATTACCATTGTGACTGAGCTGAGGAACAGGCATGCACAGAGGGAGATCAATGTGAGGAAGGGACAGATCACTAATATCATGGATGAGAATGTGGTACATGTTGAATATTTGTTCAAAATCAATGGAATGATAATTGACTAATTGTTGGGCTCAATTGTGGAATTGGTAGAATCAAAAGAAATTGAAAAATGCAATATTTGATTTTTGTCTATGTGTACGCACGGGCTTAATTTTGTGCGTACGCAATGTGTTTTGACAAAATCAGAATTAAATTTTGCTTCTACTATGCGTACGCATAGTATTGAAAAAATAGTCGTTGGCTGATTTTTCAATTTGAAACTTGGGAGCCGTTTTGGATTAAAAGTTGCCACTTTTCATCTTGTCTTGGCACCATTTCATGATGCATTGATTGAGACCTATAAGTAGGTGATGAATGATCAATACAAACATTATTAGAATCATTGAAAATA